ATCACTCCAATTTTGTGGTAGGTGTAGTTGGAAATGGTTTGGAGGGCTTGTCTTTGGAATCATGTTCGACCTTTTCTCACGGCCTCGAGAGGATATACCTGGGGATGAATTTGATGATTCGGAGCGCGGAGAGTTAGGTGTAGGGGGGATAGGGATATTATCATGGCGACGAGACTGTGAGCGAGAGGAATCGAATTGAGATGGTATTTGGGGGTGGTGGTGGTGGTGCGGGAGGAGGAGGGGAGACTTTGTTGCCCCGAAGACGCTCAGAGAAGTCATTAACCGATCGAACTGCCCGACTGACGGGAGACATGCGTGATTTGGAAGGGACGGATGGACCGGAGGAGGGATTATCGTAAGAGCTTCTGGTACCGGGAAGGGGGTCACTAGATTTGAGGATGTTTGGATGATCTGATGGGCCTATTGAGCGAGAGTGACTAGGACCTGGGCTGGTTGCTCGTAAGGGCTGAGAGCGATGATGATCACTGTGGGAGGAGGTGGAGACGACGGCAGCCCTTCGTAAGTCTTCTCTGCTTCTGGTAGCATGTAGTGAGCGTGGGCCGCTTCGGATGGAGGGGTGGGGTAGAGGGGGTCTGTCGGGAGGGATGCCATGTTCACGGACTGAGCCGGGTCGATTGGTATAGGAGGATGAGGCTTCATGATCGTGTTGACGTTTGGCTGCTCTCCACTTGGCCTGTTTGACTTTGAGGCCTTGGAGGAGATGGACGACGATCTGACGGATTTGAGGGAGGTGTTGATCGAGAGTGATGGGACTGGCTTCCTCTGACAGGGCGGCTTCGAGACAGGCTCGGAGATCATCTGGGACTGAGTTGAGATCGCTGGATCAAATGGTTAGATGGGGGCTGGTCAAATCAATGGAAAGCTGTGGGGTTTTTTTTTTTTTTTGAGCTTGAGAGAGGTTGAGTGAAGACGAACGACATGTTGATGCCCTCCTTGGTGAAGGCTAGACTGGCGGCATTGAACTCGTTTCCGAGTCGGACGTAGATGTCGGATACGCCGCCCTCATCGATTTTGCCTTGGGACCAATCAGTGAGAGATTCGAGTAGTTGTTTTGTGGCTACCAGCAGCCTGGTGACGGTAGATTCCATGTGAGATGAGTTGAAGGGATTGACAGGGTTCTAAAGAGAGCAGTTGAGTGAGTTGAGTTGATGATGAATGATGATTGATTGATAAGAATGTAGTACTGACGGTAGTAGTGCTACTCCTAGTGCTGTGTGAGCTGCTGCCGCTTGCCCGTGGTCCTGCAGGTGCTGGTGGTGGTGCTGGTGCTGTTGGGTTGTTGGTTGTGGTTAGGTTTGAGTTGCTTGAGACTGAGCCAGTCCGACGAGGTTGAGGGGAGTAGGAGATCGCTGGAAATGACATGATTCGACGATCGGATCGAAAAAGAAGAAGACGAAAAGCCAAAGAAAGGGAAATTTCAAAGGGGAGTCACAACAACTGGCTTGCAAAGTACAATTCATGTAATATTTCACAGCCTTTCATCAATTCACGAACCCTGCGAAGATCGACCCTTGTATTCACTCGAACTTAACACAAGGTCCCTCCGAGGAGGTCGCGTATCCGATCGCGAGGCTTATGTTAAGCTCGGTATTCACTTCGGGAATTCCTCTCCACACCACACCACCCCATACAATAAAATATGTAGAACCATCCATCCCTGAAGCCTGTCGATCAGAAAATTGTCTGTTGCTACAATCCGACCCACAAGCTGGCTACGTGCCCAAGCCTGCCCATATGATACTTGACTTACAGGAACTGCACAACCTGATTATAAAACCACTTGGCTTGATATATGAACCCTTCCTTGGGTCATCTCCTCAATCCCACTACTTCTCATTTTGTCAAGCATCAAAAAAAAAGAAAAAAAAAAAAACACTACAAGCGAGTACTTCAATCTAGCCATTCTACGATTCAATCATGCTTCAGAGTCAACAAGCCTTCACAAAGAAAAGCCCTGCATAATAGATCGAAGGAAGGACAATTATAAGTGGCTGAGAAGAAGTCAGACAAGTGGGGCTTCATCTTTTTCTTGAGCAATCTGAAATCTGATCAACTTCCTATGTATCATGATTCATCTAGGGATATTCTATCCGCTAGATCAAATGCTTGAACCAGTTTACCCGTCCTCTGTTCTTCCTCCTCACAATTTTTGTTTTTTCTGCCTGTTTGCTTAAATCCTTCATCCCAATGTTACTGGCATTTTCAAATACACCAGTTATAAGTCTTTATAGGCAATCTGCATCACATTATCCCATTTTGTTTGTACTCAGTGGAGGATATATATATTCAACAACAGTGCACAATGTTAGATCAAAACTGCACTTTTTCTATATAAAAAAAAGAGTGTCCTATGAAGTTGGGGGTCTTCAAGCTCAGATTGATTCTGAGGTTTCACTTCATGTGAGGATATTTCTTGGAGTCAGAGGGGAAAGGCTTTTGGACTGCTTCAATGACATTGTATAAAGATGTCACAATGTAGACCCCTTCACCTTGGGTGAGTGAGTGGCTCCCTGGAATGTAGTTCCAGCCTATATAAGATGTTTGGCTTATGACAATGAAGGAATTCCCATTGGATCTGGGACCTCTGCAGATGTTGATTGAGACCCAAAGAGTCTAGAGTTTTGCTCGGAAATCTAGCTTTTGGGGCTCTAAATTGAAATTTGAAACAGGGAGACCCACAGATATTGATGGGAATTCCTCCAATGGTTAGGGTTGTCTGTCAGGGCTCTGATAACTCACACAATATTGCGAGCTCATATATTTCAATAAACATGTTTTTTGAAAGGCTCATGTAATCATGAAAGAAAAATCCCTGCAAAAAACTCATTTATTGGATCATACGAACTTGTAATATTGCCCAAGTTATCAGAAAGCTGAAAACCCTAGTAGGTCTCCCCAAATAAAACCATATATTATTGGCCAGGCTACAAATTTATCTAACTTGACTAATTCCCTGCCCCCTTTGTTGGAGTGGTAAACCACTTGTTGCAGTGCACCAACAGGAGGAAGGGACTTACATCCAAAGTCAACCCTGTGGCCTGAGAGCATTATGATTTTTGAATGGGATTTAATTTTTGTCATCAATTTGAAACAGATTGGGTTGATTAGTTTTTCTTCTAGTTTTCAGATTGAGGCTCATTCAAGCTTTCCCCATCTATGTACTACCTTTGCTAATCGTAAACACATCTCCTTCATTAATAATGATGAATAGTGTAACATTACCAATCTCAGATACTGTAAAGTGAAAAATGTGTGATGCAGGATGGAGCAGGAGAATTAGCCCAGTTCACAATAGCCAATTATCAGCAAACATTTTAGCTGTAATCAGCAAATCATTGATACTTAAAAACCCCTCCATTTTTGAATGTGTAGTCCAGAGTCCCCCAGATTATTCCAGATCAATCCAAAAAATATTTTCCTACATATCAGCAACTTTTAACAAGGTAATCAGCCATTGGAACTGGCTAATGTGAACCAGGCTATTGTATTCACAAAAAAAAGGCAAGTTGAATGCCACCCAAAGGGCCTAAAAAATTGAGAAAACTACAGGAAGATTCTCCATGATCTTGTGCATCTTTTGCTTCTCCAAAACATGATCATTAGCTGGAAAATTGTGCCACTACACATGATTGAAAAAGGTGGTTTTCTCAATTCTCTTAGGCCACATGAGTGACTTTGTGCGTAAGCCCCTCCTTTGGAGGGTCCCTTCGGGACAGTGTCCCCCCCTCCAATTGAAGGGACTTAGTTGAGCTAGCAAATTCCACAACTGATACATTAGGGGGGTTCACAATTGAAATTTACATAATTTCCAATGCCCATTTTAATAGTGTTTTCTCATCAACTTTTTGAAAAATGAAAAAAATTGTTCTGATTGTCCAGAAACCCTAAACCCTGCACATCTTGTCAAAATCTCAAAATGTTGATGATAAGGACCTTAAAATTGACTAGAAAGACTTCATAAATTTCATTTGTGAACCCTCCTATTATGACAATTCCAGAAAATCAAATCAAATAAAAAAACTTCCAACAATTTTTGCCTTGAGACATCTCCTGTGTCAGCCAAGTAATGTTGAATTGACCCTCATATGGCTCTCTTACAGAACATGTCTCATCAGGAGGCCCCAGGGAGAGGCTTTGATGAGCTGGATTTGATCTTGGCCTACCTTACATGTCTCACATTCTACTTACATAAAAAATGATCTCTGACTCAGTTTTTATTTTTGTTTTGATTTGGAGAGCACAAGATTATTAGATAACAGGGTCCAATCATCAATGTGCCACCCCCCTCCCTGTTGTGATGGTTCCAAAAGACAAGTTGTTGCCTCTGTGCAATTTTTTGTTTTAATCAATCAAAATTAATTGGGAAACTCACTCATTGGTCAAAAGTCTAGCATTACAAGTTAATTACAACATAGACAAGATACAGACCAAAGGGACTAGGACTTGAAGACAGCAGCAGATAGAGCATTATGTTCATGATGAGCTTGTTTGATTGATCGAGGAGGTTGGATACAAACTTTGTCTGAAAACATGTTTCTAGATACATGGCTCCCTCAGAAATGAGTTAATAAATTCTGCCAAAAAAAAAGAACACAGACCCATTCTGTTTGGTCTATGTCTAGTGTCTGTGTGAGTTTATTTCTGCGGGAATTAGTCCATCTTTGATGACACTCCAAGCACACAGTTGTTGAAACTGCTTTGAAAGTTTATATGCCTTGTGTGGGGGTGGGGCAGCCTAAACCCCCATCTTGCCTCTCAAATTTTGTTTGCATTATACATTAGCACAATAATAATTTTTATCACCAATTTCTAGTTTGCACTTGACTTATTTTCGGGATGGCCATTTATAGAATCAACACCTTAAACGTTTTCATTCTCATAATACACTCCTCCTCACTCATTCCGTATTTTTTCCATCATTGTATTGCTCGGCCTCTATACCATGGGGCCCCCTTAACTTGGGAGAACACTAGAGCTCCTCTAACCGATGCCGAGATGGATGAGGTCCTGAATTTTGATTGTAATGATCTTCCTATGTTTTTCGATTCCGATAATCTTTCTGGGCTGGCAGTGCCAGAACCAACCAAACACAGCTTCCCCAATGACCAACTCTATCCCTTGCCATCGTCACTAGATCCACATCAATTACCTACCGATTTTTACCAGTATGTCTACGACTCTGCACCCTCATTAAGCGGAATTGAAACTCCTAACGATTTGTACCCACGCGACTCCAACACTTACGAAGCTACATCGATACCCTCGGCAAAATCGCCGAATTGTAATGAGTCTAACAATGTATCTCAACATGGGCCCAGCCAACCCAACGACGGCTTGCCTTTCTCGCAATTGCAGGATGCACTTGAAGGTTTCAGGCGTATCCCCATCACTTTACCTGACTATGAGCGTTGTTTGAAGGAGCATGGTTATTCATCCTCGAAACTTGGCAGTCTGCCACTCAAATGGATACATCCGCTATCAAACCACGACCAGTCAGTTCAGGGTAAGTTGTTTTCGAATCAAAATGCTGAACAATTTGGGTACCCATCGAGTGAGTAGCAAGTTTCTTTTCAACATGCTTTCCGCGTGAAGTCACGGCTGAACCAAATTCCATTTTAAGGTGTTTACACTGCCATCCCGAGCAGTAAGAAATTCCAACACACACTTGAGAGTGGTTATGTGAACCTCTTGAGTGGATCTTCATCAATTTCAACAATTATGAAAGATGAAGATTACAAAAAGAACTTGTTTGATGTATCAGACATTGAATTGCAGAAATTTGCCTGGATTAACACTGCAACACTTCCTGAAAAAAGGCCAAGATTTGCAAACCCATTCAATGATTTATATCCAGGTCCTCCAGATTCAAGCGTACAGGAAACAAGCATTTTATGGAACATTCTCAACCAAGGAAGTATTCATGAAAATGATCTTCCAACTATCATTCAATTTTCTATCAAATGTGGAAATGTTCCTCCATCACAGGTGATCCAAGGTACCAAGGAATTAATTGAGGAAATCCACTTGCGAAATCAACAGTTTCTTGAAGTTTTCACTACACTTGGTAATCCCCAAAATCAGATGGAGTTTGATTGGAATAGAGAAAATTATTATCATATATTGAGAGAAGAAGAACATTCAGAGCTGCACAGGTGGTTCATTCTGAAACTTCAAAACAACTTATCCCCTGAAGCCTCAGTTTCTAACCATCCAAATGTATTGCATTTGATACAAAACTCTCTATCTGAATTTCAAATGATGATCTTTTCATATCTCAATCAAGATAAAAATGATAAGTTACTTGGTGAACATAAATTCAGGTTCTTTTTTAATTCAAAAAGAAAAGGTTCTCCATTTCAGATTTCTGAAATTGAAGCCATGAAAACTAAGGTTGCAATACACATCTTGGGAGAGTACTATAAATCAAAAAACAAAGAAAAATGGAAATTTTTGTTTGATAACAATGACACAAACTTCCTAAAGATATTCTCAATCATTAAGATGAATAACTTCCATTCTACACCCAGCAGAACATGGGAATTTTCCTCAAGATTGGAGAAATTTGAGATCTTACCATGGAACTACAATCAGAAGGATTATAGTTCTTGTGAATTAAAACAAATGAAAACAACCCTACTCAAGAAATTCAATGATTTTAATTGGAAGGTAGTGAAAAATCAATTGACTCAAAATCCAAAAATTGAATAAAACAACTTTCAAATCATATTGACCAAAAGTTTACTAAACTGTTCTTATTAAAACTTTATAACCTGATTGAAATATAATTTACTGGATATATAGAACTTAATTTTTGAAAGATCAATCTGAACTCATCTTAATTCAAGAACTATAGCTTCAAATTTACCAGTTTACATCAGTGTCCATCCCCCCAATAGCACCCATTCAACTCTTCTGTTATTCACACTATTACTCACCATCTATAATCTTGTAACTATGATTTTTTTTATTTGGTAATAATCTTACTTTCACTCATCTCTAGATATGGGGCCACCATCAGTGAAGGTTGTTTCTCAAAAGGGAACAGCTGAAACACTACAACAAAAAAGGTGGCTTGATTGAAGGCCTGTATAGGTTGAGCAAGACATAAGAATGAAATGGAAGAAAACAAAAATTCCCTCTTATGGGCAGGGCCAGTAATCCAGCACTGGGCCGCTACGCTACGCTACACTTTTTGCCCAAAAAGCGTTAGCGTAGTGGTCCTTTTTCCACACTGAATTCACATAGTGTTAGCAAAAAGTTAGCAACTTTTTGCTACGCTACGGGCCGCTAACTGCCATTACACAGCCAAAACTCCGCTAACCAGCGTGTTAGCGCAGCGTAGAGGGCCCTTTTCAAGGGCCTGTATGTGTAGCGTTAGCATGGACGTGGCAGAATTCCGCTACGCTACGCTAAAGTTGAGCGGAATTCTGCTATGTTACGCTGCGCTACGCTAAAGTTGAGCAGAATTCCGCTACGGTTAGCGCAGCTGGCCCAGTGTTGGGTAATCCTAGTAAAATATTTCACTACCAAAGGAATTTGGAATGTCAAATTATTCTGAAACCTTCTTTATTGACTGTGAGCTGGCAAAGCAATCCAAAAAGAATCATAACAAGTGTTGTGAGTGAAAGGATTGGATTTATTCCTGACCCAATAAAACAGATAATGAAAGAAAAAGAGGCAAAGGAAGAGTTCAACTTCCTGCTTCAAGTACACAGACTTATATGTCACAGACTGCTCTGTATTAACAGAATTGAATGCTAATTCTTTCACTGCCCCTCTGTGAATCTAACCCCATATTCCTCCTGAAATAACATGTAATTTTGCATCGAAAATGACATTTCATAAATGTTGTCCAGCCTTTACAGTGGCAATTTGAAAATAGGATAAGGGGAGATGGTAACTCCCTTCCAGCTGATCACTGGGCTGGTGCAATATCATCAATTTATCTTTTTCTCCTATCATAAGAAGCTTCTCATACATGTCATGAAAAAAAAATCACAGTAAAATGAAGAAGAGGAGATTGAAGCACTCTCACTCGTTTTGTTCACCAAGCCTGTCTTAATGGCAAGTTTCTGCGAAATAGGCCTCAAACTAGGCAAGGCTTGGATCTTGCACAAGTGACTCCTTTAGAAGGTCCCTGCAGGATAGCACCTTTCCTGCGACACAGGATAACTTCATCGTATCAGAGTGAAACAAACCACGATATACATAAAAATTTTGCTTTTTCTGAGCACTAACTCAAATGGCACTTCTATCAAACATCTTCGAAGGCTGTTAGTATGGACGACTCAATCATGTGACGACTCAATAATGTGTGAGGGAAGGCTTGGCCTGTTTGATGGGAGTTCAGTGTAGCATTGCTGAGTACAGTAAACATTAAGATTCAGATACTTCTCTTAAGGTTCGGCAGCTGATATCCTCCTCTTACCTATCGATTGCTTCTTGTTAGAAGCACAGAAATAATTCCTATCACCGACCGCACACACTTGCAATCTTCAAATGGCCAACAGAATCCACCTGTTTCAGATCATAATGCACTTTCCATTGGTTGCGTATCTTGTTCACCATTGTACTGCTTCGCCTCTATACCATGGAGAGTTCCTTACCAGGGACCACCAAACCCATCTGACCGATGTTGAAATGAACAAGGGCTTTGGAAGCTGGAGTCAGATAAACCAGCTACCCGATACTCAGATGGGCGAAGATTTCGACTTTCTGATTGACGATCTGCCAAACTTTTTTGAGCAGGACAATCCTTCTGTAATGGCTGAAACAGAAGGACACGGCCGGCCCAGCAATCAAATGTTACCTCCATCGGTTGGAAATCAAGCTTCCAATCAGCTTCTTACTAGTTTGTACCACTTTGATGGCAACTTGTTTGATGGGATTGGTACATACCTGTATTCTGATTTTAGATTTCTTTTCGGATTTGCTCTTCTTTGCCTTGATTTCATGTGAGAACTGGCCTAATCGGACACCTTTCTGCCTTCCAAGGAACCAACGGTGGAGAATGCCAAGTTGGAGGATGGTGTTTACGGCTTCGACAGGATTCATGAAAAAAGGGGCGAAGGCACCACTTGTGTAGCCATTCCTCCAATGTTTCAACACAAACTTTGCAAAGATTTGGTTCCATGGCGAATCCCATGGATGATCCCAAGCAAAGGTAACTCCTGGGAAATCAGAGATTGAGAGATCGTGGATGAATATACTTCGAAAGACCGGTGCAATCCTTTCGCTAGTAGATAGAAGTGAACCGGGTGGGATGCAATCGTTGGTTGGAATAGAATCTCCAAACTACCACAATCACATTAGTTTTCAGCAGCATGGGCACAGTCAATCCAGTGACTATACATTTATCCCGCCTTCGCCGGGTGAGCTTTCAGCTTACAATCACATCTTCCCAAGTTTGGACCAACATCAGCGCCTGCTGAATACGCAGACTTCCCTCTCAAATCATGAGAGCCTGGCGGCCAATGAGCTTGATCCACTTGCAGATCATTGGGATTTAATCCAGAATCAACAGAATCCAAAGCAACAGGCAACCCAATTCAGTAACTTACCAAGTAAGTTAAGTTACAATTTACTTTGTGAAGAAAATCTTTTTACTCAAGCTTGCATCTCATTTTCCAGGTAGCTCAGGAGTTACTGACAATTGTGTGAACTTGCAAGACAAAATCCAAGATGACCACTTTCCCAAGTTGAGCAAAGATTCACTTGGAATGCAGCTTTCAGCCACCAACCCAAAAAGTGAACAGAAGATTTTGTTTGAGCCATTGGTTCCTCAATTATGGCAATTTGCTTTGATAAACACATTGAAATTTCCTCGAAAACAAAATATCACAGCAAAGAGGGGCAACAATTCCTCACAAATCAGGGAGGACCTGTTGAAGAACATTCTCATATATGGAAAGGAGAATATTTGTCCAAAAATGGTTCAAACAATCATTCGATCTGAACATTCATCTCAATTTAAAGTTCTTGAAGCTGCACAGGACTTACTTGAGGAAATCCAATTGCGCAATCAGCAATTCCTTGAAGTTTTCACCTCCCCTGAGGCTGTCAAAGAAGAAGAAATCTTTGATCCAAATAGGGAGAAACATAATCATATATTGAAAGAGCAATTTGACATGTACAACTGGTTTGTAAAACAGCTGTTTTCTGCAAATCAAGGAGATGCAAATCCAAACTCAAATCCTTTGAACCTGATTGAAAAAACAGTATTTTCATATCTTAGCAAATTTATCACAAGGAAAGAACTTGATCAACCACAATATTGGAAAATAACTAGAAGTTCAAATAACAAGGATTACAAGCCATTTTCAATCAGCACCCTTGAAGCTACAAAAACCAAAATCTCAATCTACATTTTAGGGCAATACTACAAATCAAGCAACCCAGAAAAATGGAACTTTTATCTGGTTCATGACCAAAACTTTGTGAAGATATTTGCGCTCCTGAAGAATCATCATTATCATGGCAAGCCTTGTAGGATTTCAGAATTCAATGAAAAATGTGCAAGGCTTGACATCCTGCCATGGGGAAACACTGGCAATATGGATTCAATCAAGAAATCATCATTCTTGAAATACCTTCAAAAATTCAAATGGGACTCAATTTTAATCAAAAATAGGTTTTTACAAAAATTAACTAAATGAAATTTTCTTCCTCAGTCTATTAAATTCCAAAAAAAAAAAAGAAAAATCATGCAACCAGTTTATAGAAGCTGGTCAAGAAAATCCCACAGTTTCTTTTACAACTATCTCCATACTCCACAATTAATCTTGTTTTCTTGAAGCTTGAAAAAGTGGTTTAGAATGGGCACAAAGATTTTGTAAAAGATCTCATTGGATTAATGAGTTTAAACTTTCAAGAGATCCCAGGTCTTCTGAGTTAAGGTATGAGTGGACTTCCAAATTGGACCAACCAAAGCAAGGGTGAGATTGTGTGACTTTTCTGAGAGTGGCATGAATGAAAAAGAAAATTACCTGAAGCTTTGTGGTCCCAAATTGATTTCCTGCATCTATTGACAAGCTGATATTAATTCCCTGTTCTACGATCCTTTGATCAATGATGTCTAATGGAATGAATGCCCAATGAGTTTCTTCAAAAAGTATTTGGTAATTTGCCCATATCCATAATTAGCACAATGAATTTTGACCCCTGATTTGACCAAGGACGTATGTACAATCTGTAGCTGAAATCAAGGATTCAGAGGTTCCCAGATCTTATCTGCTCTATAAAAGAGAACTTGATTCACCTTCTCTGTTCTTGAGTTCATAGCCAAGCATGTTTTGAAACTATCCGAGGACAAATTGTGAGATATAAAGAGTACATAATTATTTGCAAACATTCAAAGAAGATAAATGATCAGGTTTTACTTCTTCCCAGTTTTACCTGGTAAGCAAGTTTGTGTCCCCTGTGGGCTTGCATAAGTTTCACACCTTGAAGGATGAAATGTTTAGCCTGATGGATTGCCAGTTTTTGTCTTGATCCTAGTTCAGACCCCAAATTTTCCAGTCACCCTCTTCTGAGCGTATATTTTGTTAATCCAGGGAGACCTTTCCTATTTTCACTGCTCTCTCTTTCTCATTTAATCCCAAATAATTCTTCAGGTCATTGACCCTAATTTTGACGCAAAAGTACAGGGGTTACTTGCGATATTTGATTTTTCTACTGTACATTGGTAAAAGTGTATATAAAGAGCCTGGCCGAGATTCTAGATGTCAACCAAAAGCCTCAAGTCAATGAAACAAATAGATTGATCTACATCAGGAGAGTCTAGGAACCGCACAATCCCAAGGGCCGCCCAAGTCCCTATAATTATGACCAAAACAAAATGATAAACGAAATGAACAACATATACACTGCATGTTATAGAGTATGTGGACTGACTTTTTATAACGCTGTAGCCAGACATAAATCCCAGGTAAGATGAACGCAGTTCCCAAGGGAACGGCCATCAAGTAAATCAAGCCGACGCTGATCGATAATGTCGAGCAGATCAAGAAGGCCAAACACGCCAAGGAGATGTTCAAGACGACCGGCCTGAACAAGCTATCCGGATATTTTCTCTAGAGGTCTCAAATGAGAAACGCAAAAACAAAAGTGACGCATGATTGTTGATGAGAAAAGTGTGGTCCAAAGGAATCAGAGAGGAGAAGAGAGAAGACCGACTGACCATGACGTCTCGTCGCATCAATGGAAATAGGGCAAACCATTCGACCGCAAATAAGACCAGTGCAAAGACATCTGCATTTGAAGGTAACCGGGAGCCCAGGACGACGGAAGCTGAGATTGCAGCATTGATGGACAGAGCGGATGGGAAGCTGAGGTCTCGATGAGTGAGACGATACAATCAGTTTAGCAGATAGAGAACACCATGTGCATGATCGCTCACCTGACGTCCAAACTGCCTTCGATCAGACTCTCTCGCCCGTCCCGATAGTCGGCCAAAAGAATGTTGATCGTAAATAGGACCGACGACAGCGCCCAGATCGAATCCGAGTCCGTCGAGAGCGTTAACGTCTTCAACACTGGCGAGATCAACAGCAGTAAGAAGATCAGGATGCCTGTCGATCGTAACACCGTCGGTCCTAGGAAAAAAAGGGTACAAAAAAGAGGTTAGATCTTGCCAACTTATGTGTTAATTTTGTTGAACAAAAGTGAATGATTGATATATAACAATAAGCTCAACAGACTAGCTAATCTTCGATCAGATTTCGAGCGTTCCCAAACGAGGTAGCCAACCAAGCCCAACGAGATAGTATACCAAATCAACTCCTATTTCAAAAGAAATGTACTTCAGTTTCACCTATTTCATCAGACAGGATAGTAAGCTTTTTTTTTGGCAAGAATGGCGACTGACTTGAGCAAGGATATATCCCTTGTACAGATAGACGAACAAGCCCACGAAGATCATGACCGATGAGAGATGTGCACATAGTGGCAAGGCGCAGATGACGAGGGTAGGATAGCCATCGATTGTCCTATGGGCTGTTTATCAGAAGAGCATCAACCGATCGGCATAATCAGCTTGAGGCGATCCACGCAAACAACAACAGACAAGTCAATCTCACGGAGCAAGACCGAGTTGGTTGGATGATAGATGACTAACCGGTTCGATTGCGTTGGAGATGGTTGAGGAAGGTGAGGTCTTGGTAGTTATCTGGATAGGGCTGTTTGCACCATAGCACTCGTTTGAACTTGGGCTTCTGTGGCAATGCGCTCGAGGTGGTGCTGTGATGGGGGGAAGCCATCATTCACTCTGAACAATTCCCCGGGCGAACTTGCCCTTAAACTAACCAAGCACCTCGGCCACCGGGGCTCAGTTAAGTTTGGGCAATATTACAGTCTCTGCAGGTAACTGCGCATCAATCTGTCTTGTTACCCCCGGCTGACAGACTTGACACCGTTTTATCTTTTTTTTTTTTTTTTTTTTTTTTTTTTTAAGTGCAGATTTGATTTAACATTGCGCACTATGCATATTCATCTGGCGGACAAGTTTACGGCCGTACACATGTAAATAGAAACTAAGAAGAAATGACTGAGTTGCTGTAAGAAGTTATGCTAGTAGGGTACTTGAGGAGAAAGGAGAGAAATAGAAAGAAAAAAAAAATGAAAGGGTGAAGAAGGTGTAGGGAAGGGGGAAATCGGGAAAGCGTCGGGTTTGCATAAAGGTGATGGTTGTTGCTCATTGGTGGGTTCCCTCGACGTCTTCCCTCTGTCTGAACTGGGGGAGCCTGGCCGAGATTTGGAGGAACGCTTCGGTTGCCTTGAAGGCACTAGCGTTGTGGAGGAGAGTTCTTGCCGATATCTCGTTGATCCTCTCGTCGCGGAGGATCCCTCTGGCTACTGTCCTTGCTCCGCTGAATCTAGAACAAGAGACAAGATAATGATCAACTGACTCGGTGACTCCACACGTTGGACATATTGGGTATGGAGCCTTTTTGCACTTGAACTGAAAAGCATTTAGTGGTACATGACCTGATCGGAGTTGATGGATCGCGGATTGGATTGGGAATGCCGTCCGCGGTGACCCTTTCCACGCCGCTCCTTCTGTATCAAGGACGTCTTCTCGGCAGCCAGGCTGCCTCTGATTGATTCGTCGAGGAAGGTTGGTCGCCGGGCCTCCGCTGCTTTCCTGTCTGCCAGTTCATTGCCTTTGATGCCAACGTGGCCTGGGCACCATCGAATGATGATCTGTGTTGAGGATGGGATGGATTCAGCAATCTCTTCAATTTGAGACAAAATATATTGGCCTGGTTTGGGGGCCCTTGGGTTTTCCAGCCTATCAATCGCCGCTTGGCTGTCCGTCAAGATGATCAGTCGAGCACCAGATTTCGGAAGTTGCGCTGCTCTGCCTATTTCTAGCCCGAGTCGAATGCCAACCAGCTCGCATTCGAAGTTTGAAGCCGTCCCCGGTGGGCCCAAGAAGGCAAGTTTTGATGTTCTACCGTCCCTTGATACTGCAGCTGCCCCTAACCCTTCCTCCGGGTGTGCGGATCCGTCAGTGAATATTATCAGATCGGATGAAGGGTCCAAGGACCCGAGTAATGAAACTACTGCTCTTTTAGCCGCCTGTTTGTCAACCCTGTCAATCACCAGTTCCACCTTCCTCCCGCTTTTCCAGGGGGGGTGTTCTTCTTGGATGAAGTTTATTGCTTCAAGCCTTTTTGCCGCTACTGCAGCCAATGCCTCACGGTTGAGGGCGGCGTGTACCGGGCTGGGAAAGGTCCTTGCCTGCCATAGCAGTTCCGTTCGGATTTGCCGTTCTACTGGCGAAGGCCTGTGAGTTGCCCTGGTCATTTTCGTAAGAAAGAAGTTAGTGATTCTGTTGCCAGCATTCTTGACAATGCTTCTGAAGGGCTGATACTTGTCAAGATACTTGATTGGCGTGGATTTTAGTGCTCCTAGTGCAAAACGTGCTGCCGAGTGTTCGATTAGATCCAGCAAAGTTGAAACTTTCTGCTTGTTCATTGAGGTGAACCAGACTTGCACGCCGTACAACACCCGGGGAATGAGGACCGCTGAGACCAGGAGCCCGCGTTCCTGTTCCCGAATCCCCCATGTCGAGCTGCCAATCTTTATGAGTTGTCCTAGGGTGTCGTCAGCCTTCTTCTTCACCTGGGTCAGCTGTTTGCTGAAAGTCAGTTTTTCATCAAGCCACAGGCCTAGCCATTTGACATCTTTTCGCGGCTCCAGCTCTTGACCATCAAAGAGAAAGGGGGACTTAGCCAGTCTTGCATGGGTGAAAACTACATATTGCGCCTTTCGGCTATCAAAGATAGCCCCGTGGCTCCTGCCCCATAGGAGCGAGGCCTCTCCTAGTTGTACCAATCGGGTCCTGGCTGCCTCGACTGTCTTCCCTGCCGTGAGATGGACCACGTCGTCGATAAAGCCCAATGAGACTTCATCTCTGTCGAAATCAAATTTTTGGATCAGTAAATCGGAGTTGTACAGGATGTAAAGAATGACTGATAAGGGAGAGCCTTGAGGAAGCCCTTTATCAATGGTGAACTCAGCTGATTCGTAGTCTGCAAGTCGCAGTTTAGTGCGGCGCCCTTCCAAGAAGCGGCCTATTATCTTCCATAAGTAAGTGGGGCATCCTTTCTGCCGAAGAGAATGAATCAGGCGGCGGGGGTCGTCAATAGTCTCCCCCTGGATCAATATTGATGACATTTATTGGTGTGGTGTTTCTGACTGAAACCGAGCATGATGTTTACATACGCATACACCCCTCTTTTGCTTGGTGTGAACGACTTATGAATGTATGAGGAAATGATCTGTCTGCTCGATGGGACTCTGCAATAAAACGTTGCTGATGCCAGCAAGATTCAGAAAGGATTTGTCCAAGTTCAGTCAGGTCGAATTTCCTTCTTCCCTACATATCAGGATTTTTTCCCACTTGAAGTACCACAATAATTTTGACGACCGACCGACCTCACAGAATATTTGACTCGGAATGGCCAACAGAATCATTAATACTCTTTGCATTTTGATGATGCACCCCCCGATGATTTTTTATTTTCTCCATGGTTGTTTTGCTAGGCCGATGTTCCATGGGTCCCACACATCCTGGGACCACCAAGCCCAGCTCACCGATGTGGACATAGACAATGCCTTTACAAACTGGAATCACAGACCCCAGCTAACCAATGCTGAGATGGGAGAGGGGTTCAACTTGGGCTTTGAAGATCCATCAAACCTTTTGGGGTGGTTTGATCATCCTGGAATACAATCAGAAACAATTGAACATGGTTTTCCCAACCATCAAATCTTGGAACCATCATATGGAGCGGCAGCTTCACATCAAAGTCTTTCCGGTTTTTACCCTGTCAACGGGCCCACAATTGATTCCATCTTGAAAACCCAAACCCATGACAACCTGAACATAGGTGTACAGAAGGATGAGTGCAGCCAACCCAACCACCACATGTTCATCCCGCCTTTATTCACATTGGGTGAGCTTCCAGCTTACAACCATGTCTCCAGTGATTCCACACAATATCAGTCCTGGTTGAAAGCACAAGCTTCTGGCTCAAATCATGGGGGTCTGGCAGCCCAAGAGGTTGGTCCAGCTCCAGATTATTGGGAACCAATTCCGAATCAACAGTTCTCACAGCAACAGGACACGCAACTCAGAAGCTTGCCAAGTAAGTTATAGTTCACTTTCTAGTTCTAATTTTTTTTCTTTTTTTTTTTGAAAGGAAAAGAAAACAGTTACTCATGAGCTTTCATCCAAACTCCAGGTAGCTCTGGGGCCACCCTCAATGATATAGACTCTCCACACTTACCCAAGAATCCAACCAACCACTTACCCAACAAAGTGGACAAAAGGGTGTCTGGGATGCCAGTGGGGGACCCAAGAGATGGACCAGAAGAGATTCTGTTTGAGCCATTTATTGACCATTTATGGCAATTTGCATGGATCAACACATTGAATTTTCCGCAAAAGAAGCAACTCACAGCCAAGCGGGGCCACAAGTATTCAAACATCAGGGATAAACTGTTGCAGGACATTGTTCGCAAATATGGGAAGGAACAGATCTGTCCAAGACTCATGAAAATTGTCTCCATCCCTGCAGCTTCTTCTCACTCTGAAGTTCTCCCAGCTGCCCTTGACTTACTCGAGGAAATCCAATTGCGCAACAAACAATTTCTGGATGTCTTCACCCCGCCACATGAGGTTGCAGCTGAAGAAGAAATCTTTGATCCAAGTAAAGAAATGAATGATCCAATCTTGAACGAACAATTTGGGATGTACAACTGGTTTGTCAAGCAGCTTGTTTCTACAAGCCAGCTTCCAGGAGCTTCCAATGAACACCCATCAAACCTGATCCAAAAGGCTGTGCTCACATATCTTGAGATAGATATACACAGGAAAGAGCTCAGTGAAGACCATTGGAAAACAATCAGATTTTCAAATAAAAAAAACCTCACTCCGTTCTCCATCACCATCCTTGAAGCCATAAAGACCAAAATTGCTCTGTACATCTTAGGACAATACTACAAATCAAGCAACCCAGAAAAGTGGGATTTCTATATCGTTCATGATTCCAACTTTATCAAGATCTTTTCCCTGCTCAAGAAATATCATTATCTTGCCAAGCCTGCCAGGATCAGAGCATTCAATGGAATGTGCTCCAAGCTGGATGTCTTACCATGGAAAGAACCTCTGCAATCTATGGATAGACTTGAAACTGGTAGACATTCATTTTTGAAAACACTTGATAAATTCGGATTGCATTCAGTTGAATATTATTTCTTAAACAAGTGAAAGAATCAAACCTTCATCCAAAGTATTATATATCAACCCAATTTCAATTCAATTATTTCATACAACAAGTTCCAATCAGTTGATATCCCATCAAACCTATAAAATTTCTTTCAAAATATCTCTCCAGTATACCTAAGATTGATCATTTTAAATTTTTGAATGATCTTATGTATGATGCTTAATTCTTTTTAAGATTATTTTCATGAAATTTATGTAGTGCAGCTTATTGATCCCACTTCTCCACTGCCTGATTTGAAAATTTGAAGCTCTCCACTAACAGATTCAGTAAGAGCAGGTACACTACAGACATGATCCAAATTATTTATTGCAAGACAGGGATGGGTCAGACCCAAAAAAATTTAGTGCAGTTTGCTAATGCAGAGAAACACATATTTATAGCAGGGTTCATGATTGAAATTTCTGAATTTATAGAGCTAATTTTAAGGCCTTTATCAACAAAATTTAAAAACATTGATGATTTGGGCGGGTTTGGGGGGTTTCTAATTAATCTGCACAACTTTTTAAATTTTGTAAAAATTGTTAATCAACCGCTTATAAAAATGTGCTTCAAAATTTGATAAATTTGAATCATGAAACCCCACTATTGTAGATGTCCGATTTCAAGAGGAGCAGTGGAGGACTTCCTGTCCCAATTGTGTTCACTTTTCACTCAAACAAAAAGTTAAAGTTTTTGAAAAAAAAGTTGATTTTCTTTTCTCTGTTTCACAAATTTCAAAATCTTGTTTCTTCTTATTATTTTTTTCTATATTCATTCTTTGAAACACATTTCCCACCATTCCGCAAACTCTTGTGACTCCAAGTTTTTGGATTCCCAGTTTGGAGCTCAAAACAGATGGCTATAAACATCTGGGAGGAGACTGGGCAGGCTCAGGCAAGCAGAAAAGATACAGTGTTTAATGAGGGACCAACCACAAAAATAGACGATTAGAACTGGCTGAAATCCATTTCTTTGAGCTAGCCAGGTGCTCAAACTAAGCCTGGAGCTGAACCCCTAACTGGGCCACCCATTCTCAAACTTGACCACCTCTTAGCTGCAGCAGGCACATCTAGTGGAAGCGTAGCACTGGCCAGAGACACTTCCCAAAGCAAACTTACTCCCCGCAGGGGAACATTGCACCAAAGATTGACGGACTCATCTACTGTTTTGGTCGGAACATCACAAGATTTGGACTCATGATGCTCCCTTCAAAGGTTTATATAGATGTTTGGTCTGGAATTCTTGAAATGAAGACCTGCACGATCCTATCGATCCAGCCGAAATCCAGAATTTGAACATCTTCTCGACGTTAAACATCAAGATTGATTTTCAAAAACCAAGCTTTGGACTTTTCAATTTTTTTTTCATTTTTCATTTTTTTTTTTTTTGGAACTCAAAAAATGTGGGGGGGGGGGGGGGGTTTGATCCACTAGTGAAGTTAGGATATTGGGCCCACCAAAAGAAACCAAGTACTTGCAGGAGTTGAGGAAAGTCTACCTTATCATTCAAACACTTTCTGACAATGATTATGTAGCAAACATAACCAAAGAAACTGAACTCTGGCAAATATGGACAAGAAGCAGACCTCCCCTGTCCCCAAAGGAAAAATTACATGGATGTGAATGAGGGAGTGCTGAGAGTGGAAAGCACACATCAGCCCGATTCTGAAAACTCGCCACACAGGGATTGCTGCATCAGTCATAGGCCTCCACTGGCATGGACCGCTCCACTGCTCCCTACCATTCCTGCCATGGAGGCCTAGTTAAGCTTGGCCCATTCTCCACCCTAATCGTGCACCTAGCTCTCATCAATATACTCAGCAATATCAAGTCTGTATCCTAGCAAGCCTCCACAACCCCCACCCAACCAGCAGTCACACCAAAAGCGACAGAAGAGGGACAGCTGCTCAGGGTCAGAAAATATCGTATATGGGATTTGATTCAAGATAATCTATTGATTGATCTATTGTATATCTATCTATATATATTTATATATACATTCACACTGATAGTCAACAGAAGGGAGGAAACAAGAAAACACGGATCACTGATGGCAAAAACAAAAACAAAAACTTCACTGCAAGATTTGGGTGGGGAACAGAAATGGATGAACCTTGGGTAATGTTTTATGGAAGTGTTCTTTGAATGGTTTTGATTATCTACTAATTTTCTTGATTGGCTTTGGATTTGGTTTTTTTTTTTGATGGATGGAAAAATCACTGAGATACGAAAGAAACAGAAAACAAAACACAGAGTGGGAGATAGATGGCCCTGATCGTCGATGATTCATTCAGGTAGACATAGCATAAATCGTTCCAGATTTTTAATTGTACATTCTTCAAATGTTGCAAGCGATTCGATCACCAAGTTAAAAAAGTGTCCAGAAGATCAAACTGAGTGTTGATCGGACTCGTCATCCCTTCAGTTGTAGCACTAGTGTCCTGTTGTTGGTTATGGTTGGAAGAGACTGGCGGATGATTCGGATTATTGTCGAACGAGCTTGGATTGGGCATCGGTCCATAAATCCCGCTATAGTTCGATGGTCCAGGTGAGAGCATGGCATCGTTGGATGGAAGGACCATTGGGGGGTGGAAGTGTTCGGTAAAGCCTTCAAAGTAGTGGTTCGATTGGGAATGGGAGACACCAAAGATCGGTGTGTTGAAGGCTTCGTCGGTTGGCTCGATACTCAGGTTTTCCCAACACGGCGGCTCGTTAGACTCCTCTTCATCAAATTCATCTCGCGGGGAATTTACCAAGCCTGCCCATGAAGACATATTAAATGAAGTAGTGAGTGTACTATTCATACCATTATTATCATTGGGACTACGACTCGAACCATTCCGATTCGACCCCAATCCTTGGGATCCGTTGGCGGCTATTCCGATAGTGGAGGGAGCCGATGGTCCTTCGTTGGGACCGGTCGATCCAAAAGAGGTTCCTCTTGACCGACACGAAGAGGTCAATGAAGAAACCCTACCAGAGGCGACTGAAGAATTTGAGACGCTTTGGGTTCGGTTCTTGCGAGTCAAGCGAGTTGATGCCCCCAATTCACACGGGAAATCGCTAGAGTTATGATGCAGATATGGGTTAGATGATTCCAAGTAGTGTGCCAAAGCCATCGACCCTTCGCCCATCTTGCTTGTGTTGGGGGATACGAGTGTCTGATTTGGGTGATATGAATGCATAGAGAGGCTTTGATGAGGGTTGGGCAGAAGGTCGGCGCTCAAGGCGGACATGGCTTGTTTGTGTAATCGACTTAAGCGGTTGAACAGGTCCCGACAGATCGGACCAAACTGAGCAGCTGTACTGAAAACTGACATGGCGGTGGCTAGAGTTGACCAAGCATGTTTGCCTAGGATGCATCCGGGAGATTTGATGAGCAGAGTGACCACGCATGTCGCACCATTGTATGCATGGCAAAACAGATACCACCAGCGGTTGGCGAGTTCCGGGTAAAGGGCCTGAGCAGCCTGGGCGACACTGACTAGATTCCTGGACGATTCGATGATCACCGAGAGTACGCTTTTGGAGAATGGAGAGTTCAATGGCTCGGCCGTAGCTTCAGATAATGCCAGTGCAAAAGCCCGCCGATGCAAAAACAGGAGAGTTGTATTCTGCAATGCAGTCATAAAATGCTACAAAAATGGAAAGGATGATATCAGTATTTTCTGGGCCAAGATGAGAAATCTGCATATGCAATTATGTTATTCGCTACCTGCTGCATGGTCAACTGAAGGTCAATTGAACCATCTGATCCTGACTTCCTCTCAACTGGGTTCATATCGCACCAGGAGGGGCCTTGGCAGATCGGAGGCGTGTTTGAGCATTTCAACTTGGGTGATAAAGCGCGATCGAACTGTCTCAATTCTTCATCCAGCCGATTGACAACGGCCAACGAGGGTGGGGATACGCTAAACGCGTCATCTACGACGCGTCCAATGTAAGATGAAAAGCGCCACTTGGCAACATGAAAGTCTACATTTGGTTCGTGGCTTTCTGTTGGTTGGTTGAGGTCAAATCGTGGGATCGAAGTATCGAAATGCTTGTCACTGTTGAAACAGAAGATAATTCATGTCAAGAGTAGCACACTAGAGTGGGGTACTGATCAACGGACCTAATGGCATAAGGACGACCCAGAACGAGACTCTGTAATCGATCCATGGATAAAATTTCGTGGAACGTTCGACGCCTGGATTCCAATTCAGATGACTGCAACCCCCAATTGGAGCCATCTGGGCGAGGGCGACGATTGAGCTGATCAGGTTTGATAATGCAAATTCTCTTTTGGTGTGGTGCAAAACTACTGGAAAGCAGTTACTAACCGCGGTGAAGCCCCATGGATTGGCAGAGGCGCATAGCGGTTCCTAGCACCGGCCAAAAGGTTTCGGCTCCATCGGCGCGCGAATTCATGACGTAGGTACCCATGGCATGGATAGCCTACATAGTGACGCGTAAAGACGTGACGTCACTAAGTAATTCATAGCACTCATGGTTGGATCTGTTACATACCTGTACAATCGCAAGACTGGGGCTAGCGAGGTAGTCAGTCGACCTCAGACAGGTTTCAGCTGCATCATGCCACTTGCGTGCATCGGGGTGCAAGGCCTGGACAGTGGGGTCGAACAAAACGCTCAGGGAACTATCAGAAAATGAGGGAAGAAAAAGCAAATTTCAGAGACGCGTCGAGGAATCAAATGACAAGAGTCTTGGAAACACTAAGGATATAAAAAAAAACAAGATAACAAAGAACACGTGCAATATGGAGTATAATAATGCCAATCTTCCGATACAGATTTCGTTGCGATGCTCATCGTACATTTCATCGAGAAGCGTGCTAAACTCGGTACGAGTCAACAGCTCATAGAGATGAAACACATAGTTATAATAGACATTCTAAACCGAAGTTACACTGTTAGCTTGAGAGTACATGAACTACATTGCTGAATGGAAAGAGACATACCCCAAGCTCGCTCGGCCTCGTGTCGCTCGGGTAAGTATGTCTTGAGTTGGTTTGGATCCAAGGCCGGGCGACCCAGCAGAGCCTGAAATGTGAACGGGGATGGAGAGTCTGACGTCTCATTGGGATCCTCTGAGGTACCGGGTGTGGAGGAGAGAGAGTCACAATCGGACCAATCCTGCAAAGAGTGGGTAGGATGAAGATGAATAATCTGGTGGGGGGGGGGGGGTGATGGCGGCATGCGCAATTGACGATGTAAAACAAATCTTACCCCATCAAAGAAAGCACTACTTGCACTCCTGAAAGAGCAATAACATGAAGACAGTGCACACAAAGTGATCAATCCAAGAGTAAAAGGGTGTCAGACTGTAAGGACAAAAAAAGACTGACAACCCAAGGAAGCGAGACCGGCCATCATCACTAACGTTCAGAGTTCCAATACCGTCGATCAAAGCTAGCACATGAGTATCCTGTGGTTGTTCTGATGATGATCCGACGATACCCATGGGCGCATACTCTGAGGATGAGGGTTGAGAGGTAGACTGGTGCTCGCCGGGCCGATCATTGGAGCAGCTGAGGCGAAGTTGATGATCTTGCCGTTGCAACAGATTCTCCAACTCGGAGATTCTTGCGAGCAGGACGGAGGTGTCCTTGGTGCGGACTTTAGATTGAAGAGTTCCATCGGGACAAATGCGCGCGCAGCCACTGAGAGCAGAGAGTCATCAAGAAGTGTGAGTTATTTTAGAGTGGCAAAGAGTATACGGCGGGTTGATACAGGAGATAACAGTAGGAGGGGTAGCGCCACTGTGCTTGAAGGAATTCCAGCGGGGCAGACTTTGGTTGTATAACCAGAGAGTGGGGTACATATTTATTTACGAGGAGAAGCAAACTGACCGTTTGGTACATGATGAACACGGCCAGGTCCGATCGCCTGAATGAATTGAATTGTTGACCAAAAAAGAAAAAAAAATGCGAGGGGGTGGGTGGGCGAAGAGAAGGATGCAGAAAGAAGGTAATAGGAAGAAGTGGTGGATAGCCAAAGAGAAAGAGTCATTGCGCATCGGATCAGAGCCAGGCTTGTCGGCCAAGAAGGTTTATGTCAGATCAAGTCGAGAATCAATGAGAAAGAAAAACAAAGGAGTTGTCGTACACTTGAGCTTCAATCGCCGACACTCGGCGCAACTCAATCGATGACGGGGCCGACGCTTCGGAGGGGTAGGCAGATTGGTGGTAGTCGGAATCTTAGGTTCGCTGAACGCGGGGTAAACAGACTCTGACTTGATGATTGAGTCCATACAAGACAGATAGGAGTAGGATGGCGAGATGGAATGTGTTCTGTGCAAAGAGGCCAAGTGCCAGCCAGAACAGGAGTTGGATGGCCGAGTCAAATGATAACAGATCTGAAGCACAAAAAACTAGGAGCTAAAGAAAGAAAGAAAGAACGCAAGAGTGAGGAAACAGTGTAAGAGTCTGTCAAGGCAGGTAGATCAACGAGCTTGCTGGGGTGGATCAAGGACATCAACTTGATGATGATGATGATGATGATGATGGTGGTGGTGGTGGTGCAGATCGCCGAGCAGAAGAGAGAAGGTAAGAGAAGGGTGGGGGGGTTCATTCAGATGGCAGGGACATCGACATGCTTCGCAGTTGTACAGACAAGGATATCCAACTTGAACCAAACTCGAGAGACAAATTCACAGACAGCAATCAATCAGTCAGATCAGTCAGTCAGTCAGTCATAGGCCAGACAGACTTCTCTCCATGCTTGGTACACCTATTCGTTTATCAACGATGACGACAAGTTTCTTTAAATTTGCATAACCGGCACCCACCACAGGATGTTCGTTATTGTAGGGGGATCGTAGGGGGATCGTCCGCGAGTTCACAATGGGGAAGGAAGGAATTTCGTAGAGGAACGTTCGGTTGGTTTGAACTTGGGTACAATTGTAGTCAACAGAATATTTATTTATTCTTGGAGTTGTACAACACAACTGGAACGTTGAAGCCAGAGCAGAAACAAGAAAAAAACAAAAAAAAAAACAAAAAAAGGATGAACTGTGTATGCATTATGAATGAGATATGTTTCGATTTAAATACGTAATTCAGTGCACATGCATAAACGAGACGCGAGCGCAAGGGCATGGGCTGATACAAGTATTTATTTATTTATTATGTCACTCACACACACCCACCATGCAAAAAAAGAAGAAGGCAAAAACTGAAACTGCTAAATTCAATTTGAACAAACAAAAACCCATTTACAATGAGCGGCGCCCAAGCCAAAAGGAAATTAAAGAAAGATGCGTGTGAATGATGATATCAAACCAGTATCACCCAGCTTGCTTGCAGGGTGTTAAGAAGTTGTTGTAAGCATGGATTCATGGAGTATGTACCAGGATTGATCAGCAACAGCAGCAGCATGAGCACACAGCCTGATTGCTGGTGGGGTTGTATTATTCTGCAGGAGCATCATCATGAGCACAAAGTGGTGAACATGTGCAGATGAGCTGGTCTACAACTGAAAAATGGAGCGTGTCCAGGAAGCGCCCATACACAAACTGAAGGCTTGCAGCGCACCCGTCCAAAGCCCAGATCTATGATCTCGAAGGTCTTATCAGTTAGCGGCGCCGAAGGGGACTTTCGGGCGGGGTGGATTTCTAGCTACATACAATTCAAAACCCGCGCCCTTCAAACCTGTTTGTAAGTGAGATGGGGCATCCACCAATACAGCCGCCATTGGATCCCTCCAACATGGGATCCCATATGATTGGCGACAGTCCCTTACACTTCCGTCTATTTCCGCATGTTGACGGATAAAAAGGATTGATTGAGGTTGTGCTTTATGTAAAGATCCCTCGGCTAGGGTGTTTGTTTGTTATACATACTGCAGCATACGAAAACCAGAACCGCTCTTTTTGAGGAGTTGATCAGTCAACCCTTTCTCTGAGAAACTGTGAAAGCAGAACAAGTAAACATTCTCGGTGTTTGGATGATGTGTAAACAAATGCTCACAGACTTTGACAGACTGATGGATGTTGCAATATTCATTCCAGGCTTCCGACATCAGCCCAGAGATGTGGTTGGATTGCCAGTGCCACTGACACTGTCTGCCTGAACTTGCCCCTAAACCCACCCAGGATAATTTGGACGGTACACAGGTGGAAGAAGGAGGACAAGAAGTGCACAAAGGGATGATTGATTGAAGACTCTGGACCATCTTTTGTAATTTCATCCACTCCAAAAATTTGTTGGGCTTCAGTCAGGTCTTCCAGGCAAAGTCTTGCTGCTGCTGCTGCCTCTGCTGCGTACAGGGAGAATGTATCGGAGACCTCCAAAGGGGCTTGCTTATATTCACATTCACCGATCCCTTGCATACATCGAATGTGATCCCAGTTCCAAAGAAAAAAAAACAATCAAGATCGAGGCACTATCTTTGTTTTTTAAAAAAAAAGCTGATATATAATCGGAGAGAACAGTCGGGAAAGAAGACAGAAGCCAAGAGGAAAGGATCCAGGAAAGCCGGTTGAAAAATGTTCGTCCTTTCTCATCTTAAGGTAGGTCGCTCCTATCCGTTTCCTCCGCTTCACAGACTGATTCGAAACTGACCCCGATGACTTTTCTTCTGCTTGTTGTGTTCTTTGGGGGGCTTCTTTGCAGGATACGGTGCGGGTACAGGCGCGTGATTTTGGACGGGATCGGGCCAGCGTGATCACCGCAGAGATCAATCGGAAGTATTCGAACAAGGTACGACTACTGCCTCTGTCTGTAAACAACCTATGTACATACTTCGGGGAGCTGCACATGTCACCTTTATCATTGACGGGACTTCCTTCCTTCGTGCACTCAAGGTCCTGCCCGACCTCGGACTCTGCATCGCGCTGTTCGACTTGCTCGATGCTTCGGAAGGCAAGGTGCTCTATGGGGACGGCTGCTTATATCATCGAGGTACTAAACAAATCTTACCAACGAAAAAATCGCATAGGCACTCAAAAATCATTTCTTTTTTTGTTGCATTCGTCAATCATCAGTCGAATTCACCTTGGTCGTCTTCAGACCGTTTATCGGAGAACATATGATCGGCACCGTCAAATCGAGCACACCCTCAGGGGTCCGAGGTAGACAAATGTTTTTCTTCGTGCTCTACCACCGACTGCTCAGCTTGATAGGCTGATCCACCTTGCAACCCCTTTTTATCTTTTCAAACACAACGACACTTACTTCAAACGCCAACATCTTTCAAGTCAGCCTCAAATTTTTCGACGACATCCATATCCCTTGTCGACTGCTACAAAGTCCCTCTTGCTAGTACGGTTCCTCCGTCTCTGCTGATCCCTCCCAAGGCTTATACCAGAAAACCGGGGGGGTTTTTTTTCTGGACAAGTGAATTGATGGGTTGAAATTTGGTTTTATTGGTATGGTGACGACGACCTTAGTGACCCGACCTTGAACGAGTTTTTCTGGGCGTCCGAATACTCGGATCCGGAGGCAGCCAGCACGATGCCCGCGGACCTCCTCTCGATCTCGGAAGACCAACGGCTATACATGCAGATCGGCCAGCCGATCCGGATCCGGATCGAGGAGGAGCATTTCCTGGACGTCGGGCCCAAGGAGGCGCCCAAGGCGGCCAATCCAACCCCCGAGGGCGTCGAGCCTAGTGCCCTGGAGGAACAGCTTCGGAAGGAAAAGGAGGAGGGCATTCCTCCCTATAGTCTAGTCGTAAATCCCCTCCACGCTCTCACTTTTCTTCCTAGTCTGTACAGCTCTTGACTTACTTATCTCCCATCTCCTTTAGGCTTCTTGTGACGGACCTGGATTGGGCATCATAGCCTGGTGGCAATCAGAAGAAGATGGCCAGGAAAATCAATAAATTGGGCGTGATATGTTTCTTATTTTGCTTGAATGTTTTTCTTGCAAGGAATTTTAATTCTCAGAAACCCTTCCAAGCAGCATGATTCTGCCCATTGTCATAGAGTCGCCCTGTATCCTTTCAACACATTAATTTTTGAATCATACAAAGAATATGTACACATAAATCTACACATATCTCTTGGCCACTGCACAGTGGCCACGTAAACAAACTTTTTGCCGTCGGAGTACTTCCCCCGGCCAACAGCCACTTCAATGCTGATCGGCAAGTCCGATCCTTGAAGCTCTAAATCTGTTCTTTCCGGAGCTGTTGTAAAAGTTCGCCCAAGTTGGCCCAGACTATCAAGACAGGAACGAAAAGGAGTTGGAAGCCCAAGTTACTTCGGGTATACATTATCATTTCTTGTCTCTTATACGTCGTCACCTCCACCAACCACCATCAGCATGCATGCACACAAACATACAAAACAACAACAACAACAACAAATGAGTAGGGATTCTTGAGGATTATAGAAAGTCAGGGATAAGGTTAGGTCAGAGGGCACAAGCATACAAGATCACTACATACTAACCTCAAACCCAAAAAAACAACCAAACAAACAAGCAAATAAAGAAATACAGCTTTGGATGAGTAAAGAAGACAGGCAAGTTGACAGGACAGGGGATATAATCATTGTGAGTGGTTTTCAGTGAGTCAGGAGGAGGCTAAACGATGATCAAGAACGATAATGGAGATAGCATAAATGTTTTACAATCAATGCAAGTTTTTTTTTTTTTGAGCTTTTTTAAATAAAACACATGAAAGGTTACTTGAGTAAGGATCAATGTAATCGGCTGAGTTCGGCTAAAGAGTCCAGAACCTGGTTGACATCGACAGTGCGATCGACCAATGGGGCCTGCCCTTTGGGGACAACAGGTGCGCTGGTGGTAGTAGGAGCTGGATGCATGTCTGGATTGTCTTGCGAGTTATCTTCGACGGCTTCTTGTGGCTTGCTGTCACCCTCAGTCGCTTTGGCTTGGGCTTCCTCGGCCTTCAAGGCCATCATCTTCTTCACCAGATTCTCTACTTCATCTGGCGTGAGATCTAGACATCCTTCCAAGAAATCTCCGTCCAGAAAACCCATCGATGGAATTTTCCTTGACTCCGTTTTAAACATCCTATATCTGTTGTTATACACATAACATCGGAAGTAAGAAAACATCAACAAACCTTGCCAGAATCAAAACTACGATTGCGGGAGGAAGGGAAATGAAGACGAAGAGTGACTTACGCAGAATGTGCGAGATTCCCAACGGAGGTGGAGATCTTACTCAAGTCGGACTGGAATCGGGCCAACTGTTTGGTCTTCTTTTTGGAATGGATCTTAGCAATCAAGCCAATCCCACCGGTACTAGTAACGAAGATCAATTTGGTTTCACCGATCAGACTTGACTCGATAAATCTCGGTACAAGGCTTCCTACAATGTGCACCGTTTTCATCAGATTAATAGGAGTCACAGTATAAAAACTCAAGGGTTGCTGGGATGACCGCCTCCGTAGGCAGCCGGGTTTTGATCTTGATCGAAAGTGGGTGAGTGAGGGGGTTGGAGGTGGTCGTGATAGGAAGACTGGTTGTAGTCCTGATCTTCTTCTTCTTCTTCTTCTTGTTCTAGTTCTAGTGCTTGTTCTTCGTCTTCGTCACTACCACCCCCGTCATCCAAATGAACACCATGATCCTCACGATGCGCATCTTGATTAGGTCGGTCAGACTTGCCGTCCGAACCAGGGGATGTAGGACTATCATATTGGACAGTGAACATGTTGAATTCACTATCGGCTGCAACAAACTCTCGCTCCGAAATCGCACCGATCGGTCGGACAGACATCGCGCTAAAATCACGCGCTTTGACGGCGAGTTCTAAATGTTCGAGATCGAACTCCAGTAGAACTACAGATTTGTAGAGATCTCCGACCAATACCTTCGTTCCATCAGTGACGACTGTTTGAGAAACAAATCCACCGCCCCACGTATCCAATAATCTGAATCCGCCATCCATCTCTGGTACTGAACCTGCAAGAACCGTGTCCGTGCCACTTGGAAAGGCGCGTCCCGAGTCACCTTTTTTCAGACCGAACGCGTGGACGAAGGCATTGGCAGAAGCTACAAACATCCCATTAGGTAATCCTCCTACTCCCCCCACCGCTCCCGATAATTTCCCCACATTAGTTAGTTCGAAATGTCGTTTTTTCGCAGTAAGGTCTTGCTTCGAATTCAATTCTCGAATGGCCAAGATCCTCCCAATTGTCGCTTCAGCTTCGGTAGACTTGATCACGCCAGTTCCGATCACGAAATGCTCAATCATTTCCTCTCCTAACTTCACAGCTGCTATACTCGAACCTTGTTCCATAGGTCCAAAGTTGTAAGTGTACAATACTAGGGCAATCACACAGTGTCAGCATCATCATCTTGGTACAGGACATTAATATGAGCCAGGGTCTGAATTGGGTATTTACTGACATTGAAAAGTCTCATCGTCAAAGACTTTAAACGTCCCGATCCGATGAATTGTCCCAGTATCTTGGTCCAATTCCAATCGGGCGCAAACCACACCATATGCCTTCATGTCCTCTGAATGAGCGATCCTTCGAGGTTGCTCATTGCCAAGCGAAATCTTCAGGATGTTCATTTTTTCAGTCGTGTTTAATTTGCCGATTCTGATCTCGTCATTTGATGCCAAAACGAGGGAGTCTTGGAAAAAACGAGCGTGGAGGCCAGTTGCAGATGAGACTGATCCGCCTTGAACAGTTACAGGGGTATACGCAAATCTGCCATTGTTTTGAATCCGATCGATGATTGTGGGTTGGTCACTGTTGGCCCATAAAAACTCTCCTGTTGCATTCCTCATCGATACAAACTCGATAGGGCGTATACCAAGAGTGGTGAATCGAGGAGAGTCTCCCTCGACATGCATTCCGGTTGGTCCCAAGGCGACGTTCATGATCTTGCCATCACCCAATCCAATTAGCAGTCTACATCCATCGGATTCAGTCCCCTCAAAGTTGGTCATCTTTAACGAGTTGACCATGAAATCGGAATCGGTATTGACTCGACAGATGGTGGATGATGAAGATACGGAGATGATTTCAATGCAGTTGGTAACCCATTGAGCAGCTGCTACAAAGTTTTCGCTTTGATCGATCGCTAAGCTCGAGATGTCATTTAACAATTTGTATGTCCTACAATCAGATAGCATGAAATACTGTTTAACCAAGTGTAAATCAGTGAATACCAGTTGAAGAAAAGACATGCTCACCCTTTCTCAACAAATTTGCCATCCTTGATGCATAGTACTACGACTTGTTCCTTCAAGGATACAGCACATGTTGTGACGCTAAGAGCAGCACGGGTTATACTCTTCGCATCATCTGGTTCCCAAACCAACGCATCACCGGCAATTATTTTCCTCGAAGTCACTTGAATAGAATAGCGAGTAGTGGAGTCAGAGCCATCTAGTAGGTTGCCGGCAAGTATTGTAGGGACGTCAGATTCAAAGCCATTGAACAGGCCAATTTCTTCGATCGTGCCATCTTCATTCAGCGCCAGGAACCTGGTGCAGTCGGCGCATGAAAGTACAAGACGATCATCAAAATCCTCAACCGAGTTGACATGTGTTGAACTTCTTAGCGCCCAGAGCCGTTGAACACCACCGACCTCGAGAGAGCCAGACTCGCGTATTCCGATCCCATGCTTGATCACTCTAAGCGATCCATCGCGATGAGATCCACTGCAGGTCACGATTTGGTTCACCAGGCTCTTCCGATCTTCAGTCACGCAAAAGTCCGATATCGGGGCTAGGTTGGGGAATGTGGTGATCACCTCCGGCTGGGCGGATGCAGTATTGTCGGGATTGAGTGAGGACGTGGGAGAAGGAAGCTTCAAGAGTTGACTATCACCGTAATGCGAGGCGAGAAAGACGAATCCACTTGTGATGTAGACCAGTGCTTCGGGTGACGGCACATGGCCGGCGTGAAAGTAGTGCAGCGAGGGTGGTGTCCCAGTTGTCGATTGCTTCAAGAATAAAAAAATCAGGTTGCCATAGAGATCTCCGAGAAGCCAGCAGTTGGGTACCCCGTCTACTGGACAAAAACTGGAACAAATCAAGAACAAGCAGTACTGATCGGTTAGAACCACGGCATGGAGAAAAGGTTTTAGAGTCACCAAGTCGCAAGCTTTTAATATAGAAACGGTTTTGCCGGTCAGACCATCCACAAGGTCTTAGTCAACGCTTCTGGAGTCTATGTGACTTGAAGTGCGCGGCAGGTGATGTAGCCAGACAGGCGCGAGCACGTTGGTTGGGGGATTATATCCCAAGCTCAACGGGTGAGGGTACCCTTGACTTTGCTGTTGGCAGGATGTATATTCAAGATGGCTTAGCCTGTGGGTTTGTGTATCGTCAGATTTGTATGAGATGAAACTTTCAGGCCAGCTAACCCACTGGTAACTTGGCTTGGATGAATATGTGGTCAAGCTCGTTTGAACCCGCGAATTAACCTGACCATTTTGGATGATTTAAAAATTAGTCAGAGAGGGAAGAGTTAAATCGAGGGCAGCCCAGATCAAATTTGCTGGAGCTGCAGATTTAACTCGACCATTGCGAATGGCTTCAAAATGAGTCAAAGGAGGAAGAGTTGGATCGACTTGAAAATGGTTACGGCCCAAGATGGTCTGATGGATCGAATGGGAGATATTTTGAAGTGAAGACTGGAAAAACTTACCAAGTATAATGTCCAAGCGGTAGTCTTAACACATGGCCACCTATTACGCCTTGCTCGGTCAATTGATTGCTTTGACCAGCGGTAGCCTCAGCTTCTCTTATGTTTCCTCTGTCGTCGCTCGCTGAATACTGCACGAGACCAAAACGTACGAGTTGGGCAGTTTCTTCACCGATCAATATCGCACCATTATTGACCCCATCAGAATCTTCACCGGCCTCACCAGTAAGGGAGAATGGAATGATCAAGGCAGTCGCTGGATCACAGCAGTGGTAGCCACGAAAAAATTCTTGTTCGCAGTGGGCGGCTTGAAGATCAATCTTGCGGCTCCGTAAGACCCGATCGCCAAGGTGATTCGAATAGACAACCAAAAGAGTAGGCGGATAGTTCGGTGAAAGTGTGGCGAAATTGAGTGCCTGAACGTTGACTTCATTGAGACGAAGCTGAAAACTCCGGTACACTTCACAATCGGGATCGTTATGACTGGGGTGTAGGTTTCTGCTATGAGAAGCGAGTCCGGTTGAGACGTTGGCCTTCTTACGCTTGCTGAGGACTGGATCAAGGTTTCTCAGGTTGGAGAGACAGCCGGGGACCAAAGGGATAACGTGTAGGATACCATTTAGCGCATGAAGAACGACACATCTTCCGTGGGGATCGACGATAGAGGTTTGAACGTAATCGGCAGGCCGAGCACCAATCTGATGGAGTGAGATGGAAGCAGTGGTGATGATAGTAGCTGATTTAGGACAGAACCGGAGCGTAAACAAGTTGAGGTCGGCGGTGAGTACCAGCAGGGTAGAAGTCGAATCGGTCTGAATGTAGAAAAACATACAAAGGGAAATCAGTATGTAAATTCCATGTCAAAACCCTCAACTTTTAAACACTTGATGTGGCATACCAATTTCTTATAAGAATTGATATGTTCGACTACATCGAAGACCTTTGCCTGGTGAAGCAATTTCAGGCCCTCGGATTCGATTCCATAGACTTCGATGGTAGATTGTTTCCTAGGTGTCACAAAAAGAAAGTGTCAACCTAGATGGTTACATGATTTAGTTTGAGGGGTAGCTCGATCACCTACCCCAGTATGAGTGAGTCAACACCCGGTGCAATGAAATCGCACTTGAGAGCGTGTCGGGTGGAAGTGGGAAGCTGTCGGGAGACGGTCAACAGAGGGTACCAGAATCAGCTGATGTCAGGCCATCGAGAGCTGGGATGATGACTGACCTGAGCATGAGTGAGATAGAGCATCTCGACTGTCTTGCTGGGCGACTGTTGCCCAGTCAATCGACCCAAAGTGATTTGAGTATGAGGAGATGGATGAGATGGATGGATTGATGGTCGGTCAACTGGAGTCTGATGGTCAACTGGCTCGCTGGCAGACGACGGATTGTGGGTGGGGAGGGTTTGTTATTTATATTGGGGGTGGGTATGTGTTTTGGGCAGATATTGGAGGTCAGAAATGCGCTGGCTCGTCTGGACGAGGATATCTTCAGGGTGGGGCCATATAACAAAATACATAATATAAAGGCCCCGCTTGGTTGAGATTTCAGGATTTCATAACACAGCAGCCTGACGGATGACTGGGTGCGTCATCGAACTGAACTGTTTATCTCTCCGAACGGAGCAAAAAAAAATATGGTCTGGCTTGTGCAGGTTGGTCGAAGGAGAATGCCAGTACCGGCGGAGACGATCAGCAGTCGATGACCAGGCGCATCCTGGTGCATCCTGTCGGTAGAAATTTATGTATGGCAACGCCACTGAAAAAACAAGGCTCACCAGTTCTTGACAACCGTCCTCTGTTGTCCCCAAATGGAAATTTTGGGTTTCAATTCAACCGGGGGTCTAGCGGGGTGCACAATTTTCACCGCTCCATTGGGGATTAGCTGGATTGGCGGAAGCGCGGCTTAATCAGGCTATGTACCGGATACTAATAGATCTTCGGTAACAGTTGATAGGCTGATTCAGGAGCCAGTGAGAGGTATAATGCTTCAGCTTCTTTGCAAGGATCGTCGGACAATCATTTGCCCAATGATGTAGAAGCCTTGCAGGGCAATGATGTAAGTCTGCTTTCAGTAAAAGCACAGTCAATGGATTAGTCCAACAATAGAGTGATGGAAGCCTGTAGACCTTGTATCATTGATTTTTGTCGTTGAAAAGAGGTCCGACTTTCTGTTGCTTGGACGAAACTACAGATGACTCCTATTTGCTTTGAGCTTTCTTGAAGATTTTCAAAAAAAAAGTTTATTGCCAGCCACAAGTTCACCGGGGCAGGTTGAAACGAGCTTTTTTTAGAAGACCAGAAAATCCCAAACTCTCACAATGAAACTTAATCCATCAAGTCCCTCCAGGACCCAGGAAACCCCCTATCAATGTCAGTAACCAAAATGTATGAATTCCTATTTGCTTTGAGCTTTCTTGAAGATTTTCAAAAAAAAAGTTTATTGCCAGCCACAAGTTCACCGGGGCAGGTTGAAACGAGCTTTTTTTTAGAAGACCAGAAAATCCCAAACTCTCACAATGTGAAAATCACCAATCATACACAAACTTAATCCACCAAGTCCCTCAAGGACCCAGGAAACCCCC